ACACACACACACACACACACACACACACACACAAACACACACACACACACACACGCACAAACAAACAAACATGCAGACACACATATACATATACACACACAAAGTGGGTGTGTAGAGTGGGTTTCACGGCTGTGACAGACAAATTTCTCAGCCTTACTGCCATTCTTATCAGGGCTTTGGACCAGCAGTCTGCTAGGTTGGCAGGGTTGGTGTGAGTGATGTCGACCACTTTTCTCAGGGGTATTGCTAACTCTGGGTGACATGGTGAGTCCTTATAAATCAGTCAAATGCATCCCGGGTAGACAGCAGAGTTCAACCTCCTGATTAGTCAAAATGTTCCGGTGAAACAGTGTGGCACTGTCATGCCTTTCTTTTTTTTTGTGGCGTTGTGCATAGCGATGATGACAACACACACAAACACACAACAAAACCAGCACAGTTTTTTTAATATCACTTGTGCTCCCATACAATTACTTTGTCTCTCAAAGTAAAGAGTGTTAACAAGAATTGCCTTGTGCTGTTCTGCTCCCAGAAATAGGCCATGTGAGAATCCAGAATATACACTTGAAAAGTAGTATATGATGGGCTCAGGTGGGATTTCAACCCTGAACGTGGCCCAAAACCAGGTACATTCGGTTGTCATTTGTTGTGCTGTTTTTGCTGGTGAGATTCGAACCTTGGACCTATGAGTAGAGTCTCTGTTCGTCAGGCCTGGGTTTCTGACTAGTAGATCAGGATATTCTGTCAACTTTACATTAGACTTTGTACTTGAAAAAAAAATTGCGCTAGTGCCAACCGGTAAGCACACCCTTCTGTAGGAGCATAGGGTGAGTACAAGATGTATTCTTTTTGATTTACCGGTGGAATAGGAACCGGACTGAAGCTCCCCAGAATGGACATGGAGTGTGGCATACTGCGCATCCACATGGGCCTGCAAGGCCCGACCAAACAAGGAAAGCAAGGGCCCTGTGTCGTTTTCAGCCCAGAAGCCTGAAAACAAGGGCCTGGGCTGAAAACGAGGGCCTACAGGCCCTATGTCGTTTCAGCCTGAAAGCCTGAAAACAAGGGCCTACAGGCCCTATGTCGTTTCAGCCTGAAAGCCTGAAAACGAGGGCCTACAGGCCCTATGTCGTTTCAGCCTAAAACAGGGCCTTCCAGGCCCTGAGTCTTTTCAGCCTGAAACGGAGGGCCATTTTCAGGCCCTCATAAGATCGACCTGCCCTGAAACTTAGGCACCAGACCACGGTTTTAGCACAGGCCATTTTTGGCCTATTTTCAAGACAACCTTTGTTTGAACTTCAACACCAGGGTCTGGCATGTTTTGGCATTGGCAAGAGCAGCCTCCTGGACAGGCCAGCACTATATAAGACTGGCCCGCCCTGCAGGCTGCAGGCAGTCAGGAGACAGTCACGAGGTAGTTCCTAGGAACTTCCCAGGCACTTCACGTGCAGGAGGCAGGAGGCAGCACTCTGGAGGAGCGCTGCAGTAGTAGTAGTAGCGTTAGCAGTAGTCTTCAGCGCTGGGCGCTATTAGGAGCTAGAGTAGTAGTGGAGAGAGAGAGATGGTTGGCGGAGGCCAGGGAGACTTACCTGTGGCGCCATAGCTCCAGCTTCGTATTCGATGTACCTGCAACAAGGCGCCACCTTCACAGGTTAGTACCGGACTGAGAGAGAGAGAGAGAGAGAGAGAGAGAGAGAGAGAGAGA